ATGTAACGCTTAATGCCACTTGATGCTGCATGCTGATGTTGTTGTTGTGTTTTCTGCTGTCCTATGTTCTTATTTTTGATTGTGAATGAGTGCTCCACTGCTCCTTCCCACAGTAATCATCCTGCATTTATGATAAAAAAAAACACAGCTGCTGCTAAGAAAATGTTTGACAGAGGGAAATGATAGAAGTCATTGCTTGATTGGTGTGTTTATTAGAAGAATTGCAGCAGAAGAAATTGAATAAAAAGTGCAGAAAAACACTTTCAACCTTGATATGAAAGGAAGGTGTGGAAGGTGAAGAGATAAATCAGACACACCTTTGATCTGCAGGAACAAAAGCAGCATGAAGGAGAAAAGAAGACTTCTAAACAGCTGAGGTAAGAAATAAAAGTCAGTGTTCAATTTCTTTACATCCACACCTGTAAGAAGAAAGCAGTGACGTACATAAAAGTAAACAGAGTGTTTTTTTTTTTAAAAACAGGCTGGATATCCTTGACATTCTCTGGTCAACAATATGCTGCTGGATCCCCACATATTGTTCTTCTATATTTTTAACCCGCTCAAACTTCTTCTTTGTCTTTGTTTGACTAACAGAAAGTCAAGACACATCTTCTGTCCTGCAACTCTGCAGGCTTCTCATATTGCCATGCCTCTTGTTAATGTGCATGACCTCATCCTCTACCCTCAGCCAAATTCAATCTCATTATGCACTGCTCCTTACCCTGCGTATTGCCTCCTCGGACAGGTCCAGTTTTATGATAATTCTCCTGTCTGGCTCCAGATTCATATTTGGATAAACTTACACAGTGTGTACTTCAAAATACCCATCAAAGTCAAAGTCTCTTTGGACTTTGTTCACTTGTTAATATCACCTCTCTACTGATATTTTCCCCCTCACTGGTGTGGGTTTGACATCACACCCCAAACAACTGTGTTGGAACAAGTGCTGTGAAGTTTATTTTAGTATGTATGTGTATTTGTCAACATCCAGTGTGGTATATCTAGTGTCTATGAATATATCACATGCTGATGAGGTGTGCTAATCCCTGGGGTGAAACCATGCACTTCTGATAACAGCATTATTCATGTTTTCTCACCAAAAAACAGCACACCATTAACTGTTCTGCAGAGCCACAATTCATGCACTCATGGTGCTTAACCCCTGGTTCATACATGACATGATAAAACACTGTTGTTCGGTCTCATGGTGTAACTGTATTTTCCTGTTGTGGAAATGTTAATGTGGATCGAAAAATATTTAATTTGGGTCCTGTAAATGTGTGTTGGGGTGGTTGGTCAGGATTACCAGTGTCATGTTTTCCCTGAGAGAGCAGAATAATATGAAAAGCAGAATATAAAACTAAAACATTCCCCACCAAGCAATAGGAGGACCAAATAAATCGTAGCTTTAAATGGGTACTCAAACATCCTTGATATCGCACAGTGTATTTCTGATAAGCAGTGGTTCCATGTCGAATTTGGATATCAATTAATCATAATCATTCCCTGCTATAACAGAAAGAAAGTCCCTGTTAACACAAAAGAGGAATACAAAACATCCACCGTGACCCCCTGCCAGTCTATTCACCTGGATGTAATGCAACCACTTAGCTGGACTGTGTTACGCCCATCTAACATCGGTGTTTGCTTCCCCAGAGCGACGACTCCAATAAACCCATTATTAATTTCAGCGACAGCCCAACCCCCACGTTGGTACAAGCGGAGAAACAGGCCAAGTAATGATGTTAAGCGGCAAGAGGCGAGGAAGCCATGTCCCTTAGCAACAGTTTCCCGTCTCTTCCGACGCTGTGATGCTGTCTGGGATAAACAGATTCTGGTGTGTATGTTTGTTTGAGAAGATGTGTCTGTATAGCTATATGACGTGTCATCACTTTGGCAACTCAAAAAGCTTAGCATCATGTCTTCTGGATACTCAAAAAGTCATCATATAAGGTGTTATTGATGTTTATAGGACACTACTCCATTTCAGAAACTTAACATTTGTAATTTGTTACGATCATACGAGCACTTCTCTAATTGTCTTTGAAACTGTTTAGTTATGGTAGTTAACACGTGCGGTGTAAGATACTTTTTTCAAACGCTAAGTATAAAGCAATATGAATGCTTAACTGATCAAAAATGATAACCACTTGTAATAAAGCTTGCATGGTATAAGATGTCATGCTTTGTAAAACTATTAGCAGAGTTTAACAAAGCTTTAAGAATGCATTATATGAATAAAATATAAAGTAATAAGTATCTACTGGAGCCAAACTAATAAAACATATATAATAATGTAATATATTTCATTATTAGACAGTCGGTTGGTTTTAAGCATCTTAGCTCAGTTTTGACTCCTGCCATTAGCTACTGTGCTGAATGTGCAAAAGGTGTTTCTGTGTGTTCATGATTTCTATAATGGTGGAAGAGTTGTCGTTTGAATCATGAAACATCCATCATGATCTTCATATTTGAGGGTGTGTGCATCAGATGCTTAGGTACTGTACACATATATACACTCAATCAAATATTATTCTTGGTCTGTGCTGCCTCTGTAGTTCACAGATACAAAGCCATGTTGGTGTTTTGCACCCTCTTGAGTCAAAACATAAGAACTGCTGTTTTCTTCCTTAATTCCAGCACAGGGGGAAGTGTTACTTATCCCAGCAGCCACAACACTGACATCTTAAATTATGACATCTCTTATTTCATGAGAAATAACAAGCAACCTTGCATACTACAGCTGGTATGAAAACCAAACTGCCAGAGTCATATAGGTAACAATCTTAAGAGAATATATCCTTAAATGTCTTTTTTTTGTTATCTATTACTTTGAATCACAATATGAATTGAATTATTGTTTTACTTTAAGTCATTTCACACACAACTTTATGAAGATATATAGCCTTTATGTATACCATTATACCATCTAAAATGTTGCCATATAGTGGAGCTTACAAACCGACTCTGTTCAGGTTCAGGTTCTTTATTTGTACCCGTAGATTTAGTTTGCAGATAAAAAGACAAGGGATCCATCCTGACACACTCTAAAAACAAACACAGACAACTGACACATCCCTAATAAAAGAACTATTAAAAGTACAAGTACACCCTGCTCCGTCAAATCTCAAAATATTAAAAATGTTTTTACTGTTGTTGGTAAATCATGCTGTAAAGTAAAGTATGCCCATAGGCCTTTTGTTTATCAGAACCAAGTAAAAGCACAGCATAAAACATACAGTAAGAGACACATAGCCTACTGTACACCCTTGTAAAAACAAAAATGCATAATGACTGTACCGTGCAACCACTTATCCAAGGACTGGAATGCCTTATCCTATTTTCGACAAACGTAGGGGGTCAAATATATACAATTGCTCCGTAAACTCCTGATAAGTGTTACATTAAACATCATTTATGTCAGATACGTACTTGTCTTCGTTGCAACTGTCATCAATGAAAGAAAGATCTCTAGCGCTATCTGCAGTTTGAATAGAGCACTGCATGCCAAACCATGCATGTTCCAGTTGTGTTAAATAATGCTCCAGAACTAAGAAAAGACAAGATAGAGGTTTGAATATATATATGTCGTAATGTGTGTATTACAGTTTTTGTCTCATAAATTGAACTAAGTATTAGCAGACAGACAGGAACGATTTAACCATAGAAATAAAATGTATGTCCCCTCCCAAGATTGCCAGGTAAAAGTTTTCTGCAACTACAGTTACAGAGAACACGTCAGAAGACACTACGTATGAAGACTAAAAGAAACAAACAATATGCACCTGAAGAAAGATGGTGCATATTGTAACCAGATAACTCTTAACTTAGCTCGTTAACACAACTGCAAGTAGCTTTGACTGCTATCTAGAATTATCATGACCTAACAGTTTATAATGTTAAAACAGATCAGTGTTATGCCATTAACATGAAAAGCTTTTGGGTTGATAGTTCATCATCCTACATGAAGACACTTATAAATATGCTTCATTCATCAGAAGGCTTCCTCCTGGAGGGTTTGACCTCTGACCTCAAACCTTTAAAGCAACAAACAAAACCATACATTTACATTAGGTAAATGTATAAACTCTTTATAAAGGTGACTTCTTAGAAAGTATATTTAGGCATGAGAGGGGAAAGCATCTGTAGGTTTTGTTTTAAATAATCATATAGCTAGTTTAGTTTATGTGAAAAACTTGAACTCAAGCAACACACTTTTAATTCTGGCTGGATTTCAGAACCAAGGCCAGCTCCAGTTCAGAACCAAGGTCAGCTCTACAACCAGGATGGTCCCAGGCCAGAACCAGACTCTGTGTGCTGTCCCAGAACCAACAACTGAATAAGACTTTAAATAGACCACCTGTGTTATATGTTTTATGATAGACCGTCTATAACGGGGGACAAACTCTGTCATTCTCATAAGCTTAATAAAAGGGTTTTGATTCGATTGATAAAAACAGCAACAACAAAATAATCGAAAAATTCAGAATTATAATTATTAAACATAAACACAATGATGCATGCTGCTGCCACATTTCACATTTAGTTACTTCAACAGAGGTTTTGGGAGATACATACAAATGCAACATAAGAATGGATATAATCGTTTCACTAATCGGTTTTAACATTAAGTTTAATTTGCTAATTGAAATCCACAAGCTAATCCCCTGCTCTGCAATTCATGAAAAAAGCTATATTTATAAGAGGCAGACTTGTGATAAACAAGCCACAAACACATGGAGAACTTCCCATAGTTTACAAAATAAAATATGATTGAACATTTTACGCAGATGCCACTATTGAAAAGCTCCACAAAAACATACCAACAAACGGGCTATTATACACTTTCACTAGCCTATTACTTGTATCAATAGTAATACAGTAGATCAGTGATTGGATCTGTTCTGTTATAGTGACGCTTTTACTCTGAAATCCTAGTGTTTCCTGTACAATGCTGTCGCTCTTTGGCTCACTTGACGCAGGTATACACCACACGGAGCTGTCAGGAAAGGCAGGAGACACGCTGGTACATGTGGTCAACAACTCTGAAGTGATCTCGGTTAAACCAGCAGTGCTGAATGTCTGCAGAGCCAGGGAGCATTGAAAACCTGAATCTTTGTCCAGGACGCGATCAGCTTCAAGAAGCAGCTTGAATCAGCGGTTGTTGCTCGAAGCGACTTATTTTTTGGGTTGTGATTTCTTTACACTTTCCACACTGCAGACGTTATCCAGATGTTTGAGTAGTTTTAAAGTGGCAACTGATGGCAGGGTTATTCTAGCCCCCTAAAGATCTCATTGTACTTTGAGAATCACCTAGACAAAGCGGAGCAGTCTCAGGAGCTGCGGAGGGATTTAGTGAATTTGTGAAACTCAGTTTTCTCGTTTCGGACAAATGATTTCAATTACATAACTGACTTGCCAATATCGCCCAAGACTGAATCCCGACACCCGTACATCTTCCTCTGTGTTGACATCACCTTTGTGCAGGGACTATGCTGATGAAGGAGTACCGCATTTGCATGCCTCTTACAGTGGAGGAGGTAGGTGAAGTTCTCTTGGCTTTCCTAATGTTATTAACCTGCTTTTTCTGTCATTATACATGTGGACGTGGTAAATAGACACAGAGGTGCAGATCAGCACGTTTGGTTTAATTCAAAGTGGAACAGATTATTGCAAAGTTGTCTGTCATGCGATTTTCATCTTGCACCAAAGTGCACGTTGAGCTCTACAACCGAGGTGCGGTCAGACAACCTCCGCCGCCGGGGGGAGCTGCTGCTGTCTCTCCTTCAGCTCAATGCGTTCAGGAGAAGTGTCCAGAGGCGGTTCTGGGGGGGAGGACAACGGTGGCCAGTGCCCCTGTAACAATGAGCTTATGGCCCCCTTCTAAAGAAGAGTTTATAATGATAATACAATTGTAGGTAGCGTTGTGCTGTAAGTAGCCAACGTTAAGTTGAATACATTTTATCTTTCAAATAATAGGAGTACCGCATTTGTAATTGAATAACGTTTTAACTAACAAATTATGTTGCTTTTTTTTGTGATTATACAAAACCAAAAATGTTAAAACACCGGCTTTTGTCTCTTTTGTCCCGTATTAAATGTGACCCTCTCATAAAAAAGCTGTCCCCAGCATGTCCCCCCAAGTAAAATTGTTACTAGATCCGACACTGGTCGTGTCTTATAAGAGCTTGTGTACAGCAGCAGAGGGATCCGTGTTATGATTTGTAGTGAAGGAAAAAGAGTGCCTCTCTTTTACTTTGAGTGTTTGAGTTGTACGCTTGGTGATTGGTTGTTAAAATGAATGTGTTTGGACACACTTTGTTATGTTTATTCACAGCTCTTATTCTGCTCCAACCAACACTGCAGATTTTGTTTTTTAGTATTATGTACTCCTTTGTCTGGTTGCTTGTACATGTTTTTAATGCAGGAATTGAGGCGTGCCTTTAATTGTGTCTCAGAGCTGAATGACAGAAATGCAAATTAAATAAACATTTCTTATATAGTTTGAAGACATATTGATGCAGTGTTTGTGTTAAAGTGAAAAAAGGGGATGAGGGAAAGAAGCATCTGGTGGCTGAAGCTGCCCTCAGGTCACAGTGACACAGAAAACAGCCTCACGATTATTATAGCTGCCGTTTTTGGACAGTTAAAGATGCAAATAAGATGCAATACTTCCTTTACATTCAGCTCTCAGCTTAGTTGGTCTGTATATATTTGATTCTTAATTTCTTCCACTCCTGTATGTTCTTTACTCGTTTTAGTGTTAAGCTTTCTATGTGTTTTATGTCTGCACCAACCAACAGATGTTCCAGCTGAAGGATTTTATTGAAACTCACTGTCATAAACGTTTTACACGCCATTTAACCCAGTCTATGATGTGACATGAGCTGCAACTCAAAGGGAGTCAATGCATTTATATGTTATCATAGTGGTTCATAGAGTTCCATAGGTACATTAAATTTGATCCAGCGGTGCTGTTTGTGAAGATACAATCCATCACTGCAGTCAAGCCATGCCCCTTCTTTGTTGTGTTCTTAGATCAAATCTGTACTTTTTCTTTAGAAAGCTGACTTGAACAGCCTCTCCTGAAGTTAAGTGATCCTTATCTTGCTCTGTGTCTTGCTTTGTTTCTGTGAGTTTTATGTTTATACTTACCAGGAGGCTGCTTCATCACATCGTGTCCTAGGGCTGATTGATTATTCTCCTTCGCTTCACTCCAGTAGTGATTGAAGACACTGTTTTCCTTTTTGGCCAGCTGAAGGCTATCACAGCTGTGGTTTTAATAATAATGATGCTGTCCAACCTAATCTTTTATTCTGTAATCAAAATGACAATTCAACCTTTTTTTATCGATTCAGTTTTGCATCCTGCAAGTAGATACCCACTCACAACAAGACACATGTGTGTGTGAGAGAGACAGATATGATCTCAGGAGTGTTTAAACAAATATTACATTTTAATTAACGCAGGACCAACCAAGGACATTTAAAAGGGGTCTTTATCTTTAATGTAGTTGCTGTCATCTGGACAGGCGCAGATTACTCATTCTACTGCTGTGTGTTCCTGTGAAAATAAGATGCATGATAAAACTAATCTTAATTTCACAGTCAGTATACCAGGCATCATGATAAGGAATGATTCATTTAGTGCTTTTGGTGTCCCAGTTAAATGATATGTATTGCTCACTCGACACATCATTACAGTGACGAATCAGAGTCTCTTCAGCAAGAGGTAAAAAAGGTCCTTTTCAGATAAATATCAGTCTGTCGGAGAAGGGTACAGCTTTGTTGAACAAGGATATGACAAGTCTTCTTAGGAATTGTATCACCAATATTATTATTCAGGCTTCTTCAGGACGCCATTAAGTTCAAGCACTGCTGAGAAAACAAATTTGAGACGCTGTCATGATGACCTCCTCATCTTATACGTGCTAGTCAAGTGACTATTACACAAAAACTAAAAAATAGCTGTAGTAGAAATGCAAAAATGGAATGTCAACGTTATGAATTAAGCTTCAAACTATTCTGTAAAGCGAAACATTTAACCATACATTGTTGTTATTGTTTTAGTTAAACAGGCATATGATGCTGTGTTTGATGATGACATTAATGTAACCCTCACTTTAGAGTGTGTTTAGTGTACTGTAGGGATATGTACTAGTGAAAAAATACACACTCTATCACAAAACATTGTTTTAAAAATCTGATATTAGGAAATGTATCATGTTTAAAGAACACACTCCGTTATGCATACTATCTGAGTAAAACAATACTATTTCTACAATGAGAACAATGGGATCTGGATTTCAACAATCACACTTCCTGTTGCATCCAACACAAACATACTGTCTGCCACACATTTTTCCATGTTTTCTATTGACTAAAAAGTTATAAAATGTACGGTATCACACAACATAAATATTGCATAGTGTTTTGTTATTTTGTTATACTCGTTTAGTGTGTACCTGTGTGTATTGAAATGCTTCCTGGAGTTACATTGCATAGCAAACCCATCAGTTTGAATAATATATCGTCTGGATATTAAAGACTGTAAGCAACATATTTTTTAGTTAGGCGTCTCTGTTGTACAGTTGGTACATTGTGTCCAAGTTCCCACATCAGTTTGCACATTAGAAAAAAATGTATCAAAACATTTCATTCTCTTTCATAGGATAACAAAGCCAAGGGGACGTATCTGTCACAGTGTCAACGTGGCATACAAACCCAATACTGACATCCTTTGTGATCATGTCAGTCAAGTTGTAGCTACAGCAAGAATACAAACTAGCAGTCCATCACTCCATCAAAACATGTCACTTCTCATAATGTATTTTCTCAGCCATTTCTAGTTGAAAGGTCTTTGTCAGTTGTGTTAATCCTAAAAAAAATCTAATTATATAGGGACTTCTTTGAAAAAATCACTGAAGGGATGTACAAGCTTTCTTTTAGTTTTAGATGTTCTCCTGCAGCAGGACAGACAGACTCTTGTTCTGATTAAGGTGAAAGCAGCCAGTCAGTGTAAGGTCAGTCTCCAGGGGTTTCCATATCTGCCTGCATACTGAGACGTCTAGGATCTTGTTTACGTCCCCAGAGAGGAGACCCCGTGCTCTGAGTAACTAGAAGAGTGTTTCTTTGTTCCCCGAAGAGCTCGTTGCGCAGTCAGACTGTGACTTGGCTCACGCACACGCACACCAGATGGAAAGGAGCACGCTCACTAAGATTATCTGCCAGACGCAGAGAGATGTGCCAGGGAGAGAGAGTTTGCATTTGTTGAGAGCTTGATTGATGGACTGTGGTAATTGTCTGAGTCTGCTTACAGCATGATTTTGCCTTTTGAATTTATTTGCGGGCCGATGACTCGCTATCACGGCATTTTCAAGATTTGACATTCACACGTGACAATAACATTGATACCCACGTGCTATAACATAGCTTAGCTTTACAGAAAAACCTTGGAACAGGGGAAAACAGTTAACGGTGTCAGCTCAACGGTAATAAAATCTGCCTACCAGCACATAATAGCTCACTAATAAACGCGCTATATCGGGAGCTGTAACTTCCTAGAGTTTCTACCGGTTGCCTGGCAACTGCTCCCACCTCATAGTCACACATCAGATCAGTAGGCTACACCTCGTTAAACATTAAATTGTCTTTTTCTACCATGTTGTTTTTCTCACTGATTCAACAAACAAAATAAAACATTTTAGTTGGTGAGAATTAGACATGCTGGTAGCTAGGTAGATTTGGTCACCTTTTGACAGAGCCACACTTGCTGTTTCCCCATTTCCCGTTTAAGCTAACCTAGCTAGCCACTGCTTGCTCCAGCTAGGCTACATATTTAATATAAAGACATACAAATGGTAGTGATCTTTTCAACCTACTCCCAGCAAGAAAACCTATAAGAATTAAAGATGTAAGATCCTTTTAAATCTTAGATGAACAAATTGTTTTAAACACAACTTCTGGTTTGACCCTATACAGCCCTTGTTGTGCTGTTACCAGTGTTCTCTATTTTAGTTGTTTATATTTGATTTTGCATTTTTTTCTATATGCCTCAAAGCCAGTGCACTGCAACCTGTTGACGATATTACTATGCAAGATTTTTTCTCATTACATCTTCAGTACCCCATAAAACAAATCTTGCATGAAGCTTAGAAGATTTATTTGTGCATTCAATTTCAGAATGCATTGAGCAGAGCTTTTACTGCCTCATCAATTACCATGCAGTTTCCTCTGCAATTAATTAACCATTCACTGCTTAAAGAATAGAGAGTGTATTCTCTGCACCTGAGCAGAGTTACTATCACTTTTTTCTTGATTGGCTCCTGAGTAATGAGCTTTGGAGAATGAGAAGAGGGAACAGGAACATCATCAGTGCTTAGTTGAAAGACAGGGGAAGTGTCTGCTTGCCATCAGCGCTTAATAAGGCAATACATATGCCTTTCTTCCTCATTAAAAGGGAGCTTACAGGCAGTGCTAGGGTTTAAGCTACTTATCACATTGGCCTTAGAACTTCATTAAAAACCTTTGACGAGTAAAGA